AAATGTAAATTAGCACATCTGCTATGGAAATCACTAAGGAGGTTCCTAAGAAACTAAAAATAGAACTACCATAATATCCAGCTATACTACTTCTGAGTACATAATGAAGGAATTAAAGTTAGCATACCATACAGATAACTGAATATCCAGCTTTATTGCACCACGATTCATAGTAGCCAGGTTATGGAATCAGCCTAGGTGCCATCAATTGATAGATGAATAAAGAAAATGTGGTATACATACACAATGGAGCCATCAGCCATAGGAAGAATGAAATCATATCATTTGCAAGTAAAATGGATAGAACTGGAGATCATCATGTTAAATGGAATATACCAGACACAGAAAGGAAAATATTGCATACTTTCCCTCATGTGTGGAATATAGACAGAAAAGAGATGAATTAGATAAGAAGAAGAGGATCTGGGGAGAAGAGGGTAAGAGAGAGGATAATAGGAATTGGATATGATCAACATATTTTTTTTGCTTATAAGAATATTCCACAATGAAACACGTTAATCTGTATAATTAAAATACACTAAAATATGCCTCATGCAGTATTAATATCAGTTTTAATAATGCATTGGTTGTTTCCAAATTTTCAGAGAATGGACAGGTGATGAAAAAAGTGGCATTCCTGAGTTAAGGCAAAGCCTTGCATAATGGTCCCAGAAAAATATGCTTCATATAAGTTGAAGTGTCACAGGCAATGAACACAAAATCAAATTGATTTTTGTCCATCATGAGTACTGTGGATTTCTGACAGGAGAGTGCTTCATGTGTTCATACAACTCAAAAGAAATTTTTTTTGTAAAGACCTTGTTTTAGAAAATAAAACTCTATACTCATAAACTGTACAGGGAATGCAATTTTATAAAATCCATTGGGAGATATTTAAATGATTCCACAGGACTGTATTCTTGTTAATGTACCACACATTAAGTTTTTATAGAATTTTTTCATCATAGGAAAGGCATGAATTGGACACATCGTCTGCTATGCTGGGAAAGTTTTCCAAGTGTTCATTTAATGTTGCACACTATATGTACCTACTGTGATGTGTTGTTCTGGGGACTTAAGCAAGCAGTCACTGGCAAACAGTTAACTCCTCTAGGAGGTCTTTCTGGCTTTGGTATATCTTGTCTCCATCCATAAAACATCAGTCTTTTGTAGTATTACTTTACAAACATGGGCCCATATTTTCTGGATCTAAGATGAAAATGTAGAGCTTTTCCATGGATCTTTCCTTATGTTGTATAAGAGATCCTTGCATAAGGACTTCCGTCAGAAAGGCATGTTTAATTTAGCTTGATCATCTGCATAAGTGTTTACCACTCCCCACACCCCTACCCCCAGCTTCTGTAGTGTCTCTTATACTTTGAGACATTGTCTTCACAAAAAAATTCTTTTGAGTTATATGAACACATGAAATATTCCATGAACTTGACTTTCCTTTTTAATTGGTATACACGAGAGACATAAGGTTAAGAAAAGGTTACAATGATTAAAATACCTTAATTTTCTTCATAGTATTTTGAAGTTTTAAAGTATATTAAAACATATTAACTATCATATTACTTTTTCATATTTTGATATGTCTAAGAGGGAGTCACAAATGCAGAGACATGAATTAATTTTGCTTCTGCTCAGGTATTAGATTTTATGAGACTTGAGTGGTTATTATGTAACTTACCTGGCATTATCCCTGCTCAAAATTTGGCATGAGAGTGTCAAAATATGGATTGTGGAAATGGATACTTCTTGATTGACAGAAGTACAGTTGTGACCCTCCATTGAGTGAGAAGTGTAATGAAGCTGAATACTATAAGGAGAAATTAATTATACCTTATAGTTGACGGACCACCTGGTAGAAAAATATTGGTGCTTGAGAGCAGAACAGTTGTACTGTAAGTGGTATCAGATTTAAGGGATATTCCAGTACAAACCTGAGAATACTTCAACCAATCTAGACAAGAGTAACCTTATTTTGAGAAGAGGATAAACTTTTGCTACTGTATCACCAAGTAGGGATGACAGGAATTGGTTTATTGTTGGCATTTTGTTGAGTAGTATCTTTAGGGAATGGCCTTGTTCTTTTTAGTAGTTCACCTGTTTGTTTATTTATTATATCTTTCCATGTTTTTTATTGCTGCATTATAGTTGTACATAATGATGAGACTTGTTGTTACATATTTGTACATGTGCACAATATAACATTATAATTTGACCAATATAATTCCCTAGCCCTTCCTCATCCCTCTCCTCATTACTACCCCTGGTCCTTTTCTTTGAATTGATCTCCCTTTGATTTTCATAAGATCCCCACCCTTTATCTGTGTCTCCATTTTTCCTTTCCAGCTTCCACATATGAAGAAAAACATGTAACCCTTGACTTTGAGTCTGGCTTATTTCACTTCCTATAATGCTCTCAAGTTCTACCTATGTTCCTGCAAAAGACATAATTTCATTTTTCCTTATGGATTAATAAAACTCCATTGTGTATATGTATATATACCACGTTTTCTTTACCCATTTATTGATTGATGGACACCTAGGCTGCAGGTTCAATAGTTGTTAAATTAAGAAGGGAGTCTGAGTTGGTGAGATTGTCACACAGCAGTTTGACATGACTTCCTTTCCTGTTCTGGGGCAGCAGCAGATTGGAGCTCAGTAGTACCTCCCTCAACCTATCAGCCTGCCCACCCAGTACAGAGCCCTGGAGTCAAAGAAAAATTTCTTCTGAAGGAAGAAGGCAAACATGGTGCTGCCCAGACTGCTGAAACTGGTCATGTTGTCCATGTGGCTGGGTAGGAATGGTCCCTGTGGGAAGGGGCCTTTTTTGTGATCTAGAGATTGTTGGACAGGATAGCCTTAAAGAGACTTTGGGAGGGATGGTTAGCAGTGTGTAAAAGTGCACCTTTTTTGTCCCAAGAACTTGTCCCTCAACTTTCTGATTCTGTCCTTTTTCCTTCAGGATCCAGTTTTGCCCAGAAGGTGACTCAGGCCCAGCCAGCCATGTGGGTGCAGGAGAAGGAAGCTGTGAGCCTGCACTGCTCCTATGACACCAGTGCTGGAAGTTATGGTCTCCTCTGGTACAAGCAGCCCAGCAGTGGGGAGATGGTCTTCCTCATCCTTCAGAACTCTTACAGCCAGCAAAATGCCACAGAAGGTCGCTACTTAGTGCATTTGCAGAAGGCAAGCAAATCCATCCAGCTTGTCATCTCAGCCTCGCAGCTGGGGGACTC